GTTTTTCTCTGGTACGGGGAACCGAACTCACGACCTTGCGCTTGCCAGGCAGGCGCTTTTGCCGCTGAGCTAAATCCCCAGCCCCCACTTTGCATGTTTTAATTCAGTCAGTTCCTAGTGAGCCTCATAGGGCAGGGACTATCATAAATCTCATCTGACAGAAGGATGAGATGATAAAAATCTTGCTCCAAGTCTCACAGAAAGTGGTAAAGGAGGGATTCACTTGTAGAGCTGGCACTTAAAACCTCATTATCACAGCTAAACACACAGGGCAGGGCTGGACCCAGGGTGCTCACCAGGAGCTCAGGATCATGAGGATGCCTGCCCTGCTTTGTTTATATGGAAGACTGTGGCAACAACCAAAGCAGTGGAGGTTGTTTTAAAGTCAGGCAGATACTCTCTTAGCTAAAAGTTCCAGCGGCCAGGTAATCTACTAAAAAAATGCTATGAAAAAGTTGTCTTCTCTATCAAGCTTCAACAAAGAACTTCCAAGCCAGGCGTGGTGGTACACATCTGTGATCCTAGCACTTGGGAGGCTGAGGTAGGAGGACAGCTATGAGTTCGAGGCCAGCCTGGGCTACACAGTAAATTCAAGGCCAGCCTAAACTACATAGCGAGATCCTGTTTTTTTTTTTTTTAAAAAAAGAACTTCCTCTAAATTTATTGTAAGTGTTTAAACAGATTTTTCCAAGATTCTGGCCATATTTAAGGTAATTTTACACAAAGAAAAAGAATTCAATGATTCTCTACCCAGGGGAAGGTAATACGTGATATCTATACTAAAGTCACCTCTGAACAAATTAACTGACAAGAGGGAAAGATGTTTCACAAGAATGGCAATGCTCTTGTTTTCTGGAAAATGAGAGTATATGAGAGCTGCACATATAGCCAGCTTTTCTATGTGAATCTATGTCTGAACCAGAGCGAACAGGGATTTACCATGTCACTGTCACCCAGACTCCTTACATTGATTAAATAAAATCTAAAACAGGATTAGGCCATCTCAGAGTACTTAGGGCAGGGGCTGTGTTGCATGTGATCCTTTCTGGGACTTTTTGGGAAAAATGAGAAGGTTGAAAATGTCCAGGAAGTCACGGACCTTAAATCTGCTTCAAAATAAACACAAGTAAAAGACACCCTAAATCTCCCAAGACACACTGATTTTTTTTTTTCTTTCTATGGCAGCAACAGGATATTCATTTAGATATAAGTCCATCGTTTGTTTGATACCAAGAGCTAGCATCCATGCCTAACAACTCAACTGTGAAGAACTCTTCACATACAGTGAACATTCTACAGTGCTTTCCCTATCGTCTTTACCCTTGATAAAATCTTCAGGGATTTTTACCTCATTCATCTTTTTATTCTAGTACCTCACACATAGTAGATGCTCAATAAATGGAACTTACGTTTCTAACTTGATCTCTTGCATGGAAATAAGTAAAATGCTTTTGTATGGAAGCATTTCAGTGATTATAAAAGCTCTGGATATTTTTACAGATGGGGACAGTGAGGCTTCCTGAATCATGTGAGTAGCCTAAACTCACTCAGCAGGCATTGGGCAGTCCAGCTCCAGAGCCTGCACTGCACCCTTTCCTGAACATGCCCTTTTGTTCCACTGTATCCTTTGAACTGATTTAGTCCTCACATGACTGCCAGGCCTCTGGCCAAACCGGTTTAAAAATTGTCTACATGTAGGTGATAGTATGGTATGTTGCCCTATACCTCTTAATGGATAGAGTAATTTTGTTTCTTTTTAAAAGAGATTCAAAATAATGGTACTCCCCCACCTGCAAGTTTCTGACAACAGTCATGACAATGACAGCCCCATTTACATTTTAGGAAAACAACTTACCCATCCTCCGGCAGGGAGGGCTGCAAAGTCCTACATTCCTTTGGTGTGAACACCACGTTCAAGTCATCATCAGTGAAGTCTCCCAGCTCCTGCGCCAGCTCCACATCCAGGCTGTTCAGGTGGGTCATCAGAAGTCCTTCGAAGTCCACTGGCTCCACTGGGTCATAGAACTGAGGCTGGAAGGGTAGGGAAAAGAAAAGGATGGCCCCGCACGGCTTCTGGCAAAAGCAGAAAGGCAACAGTAGATATCTGCCTTGCCCTCCTGTTCAACTTAGCATTTTGCTATTAGCCTAAAAAGAAGTGACGCTGGAGGAGCTGTCAAACACAGGAGCGGTGATACGGAAAGGAAAAAGAAATACAGCAATGGAAAGTCAAGTCATAACACGATGAGTAATTAAAATCACACCCCAAGGCAGAATTTTTCTCTGCTTAATTGCATCTTGATGCGGAATCCTGAGGAGATCCAAAATGAAATCATAAGACTTTGCTGAAATTTTATAATTTCTCCTGCAAAAGCTCTCTGAGGCCATGTTTTGTTTACCCAAATACAGTGAAGTAGGGAATGAAGGCAAGTTTCCAGAAATTCAGGCAAACTCTCTACTGGTTGAGTATTTAGATGCAGTGTTTCCTTTGGCTTGAGTTATCCTATATGTTGAATCTCAAAAGCACTTCATATATAATCACGGCCGAGAGTGAGCCAGATTCACTGAAAAGCCTCCAGGGCAGTGACTTCCAAGCACTGCTGGGCTCACTGGAGTCGGTCTTCAGGAGATTTTTCATTGGATTGCACCTCCATGAGCAAATACAGGGCAAGCTGCTAAATTTTCATGGCTAAACTGACTCATTTGACAAGAACTGCTCCTTTGTTCTGCATTTTATCCTTCCACAGCAGGAGAGAGAAGGACTAAAACAAACAATATAAATTTAAATAATATTCTTCTTTGGTTGATAATACTAAAAGTTGTCAACATTTTGTCAGTCTTCAGTTAAACAGAGCCCTTTTTCCTGTCTATGAAATCCAAAGACTTAGGAAGTAAGCCTTAAGGAAGTAAGAGAATCACTTACATCAAGTAGATCTGTGTAATCATAACAATAGTAGCAATGATGCTGATAATAAAAATGGTAACAACAATTTCAGCTCTTGACCATGCGGATCATCAGCCCAAGGGTCACTGTTTTCCATGATCTCTACCAACAGTGCAGTGACAAAACAAACACAAAGATTCTTGATTTGTATGCTTTGAAGGGAAACAAGGACAGAGCCAAAGGAATTGCTAACAAAACCGGTTTTTGATCCCTTGAAATCCCCCATCAGTAAGGGCTTCAAGTTGGAGAAGAGGAACAAAGTGTTCTTGAAGATGCACGGGCAATTAAGATTAGAGAATGTAAATAAATGTAGCTGGCCTGTCCCCTCTGTCCCTGCTGGTGACGCAGGCATGAGTGACTTCTGTGGGGGAGGAAGGAGGAAGCTGTAATTTGGGCAAATCCTTCTCACCTGGGTTCCTGAAGGCAGCTGACTTAGGCAGAATAGAAGGGCATGGGACGAACCTCAGTGGAGAACAAAGCACTCCCCTAATTCTTTCTAGGTGGTATGGGAAAGGGCAGAGAGGAGCTCCTTGACTCTGACTGGGACATGCAGTCAGCTGGGAAGAGGGCCACAGTCCTGTCCAGGGACTCAGATCGGCCTCTGCAGGACTCAGGTGCAGAATAGGTTTGCAGAGAGATGCTGGTGAACTATACCAGAGGGTGTGTCACATGTGCACAGATCAAATGAACCTGCTGCGACCACAAAAGGCCAACCCCAAGGGAGAAAGCAGATCCCCTGACCCCGTCCCCCACCTGCCACCACATAGACCAGGTTAGGGTCAGGCTTTGAAATAACTTCTGCAGGAACTTATAGAAATTGCATATTTGTATCCCCAACCTAACATAATTTTTTGTTTTTTGAGACAGGGTCTTGCTATGTAGCCCAGGCTGGCCTCGAACTCACAGCAATCCTTCTGCCTCAGGCTCCTGAGTGCTGGGATTACAGGCATGTGCCACCATGCCTGGATGTAAAGTCTGTATCAATTGAACTAATAATTATTGAGTACTTATGTCATTATATGAAGTCATTATATATCTCACTCACTCATCACTAGAACCCTATGAAATGTATATCCTTATTATTCCTGTTTTACATATGAAGATATTGAGGGCTATAAACTCAGTAACTTGCCCATGATTATATGTCCAGAAAGTAGTCCATCTGGAATGCAAATCAAAGCAGGCGCAAGTTTTGAGCCATTGTAATTTTGATCATTTTCTCTTATAGATCTTTCAGGGAATCTGTATTTTCTGAGATCAAATTCTGGTCTACACTTCTCATGAGATTGGCTGCTCAAAGCAGTGATAGTAAATAAACAAAATAGTAATTAATGTAAATGTATTATGAAGAATATCAATTAATCAAGCAGAGGCACTAGAAATATACACTTAAAAATTACACTAAAAGCAGAGTTTAAAGCAAGGTGACACGAGCACCAATAACTAGTGTAGGAGCCTTATGGGAAAATGGTATATGCATGTAAGGATCAGGGAGAAAACAGTCCAGTTTCAGCGAAAGGACAATACTTGTTATGTTCCTGAAACCCAAAGCTACAAACGATGAAAAGTCAGGCTGACAGTACCCCCTGTCATCTACAGGACAGACTGTCCAAGCACCTGGAGCAAAGAATGGCAACTCCCTCATTTAGCAATGATTTACTGGGTACCCACCGAGTGCGAGGTGCTGTGTTGGGTATCAGGATACAAAGAAGCACAGGTCACTACGCTCATGGGACAGCACTATAATGGACCCTGAGATGCTGACATTTTTTACCTTCTCACATATAAATAATGCCATCTTTGGTGAGGGGAATTGATCCCTGTGTGCTAATTATGTGGCAATTCGCCGTGCACACATACACAATTCATGATAAGGTCACAAACTCTTGAGGTCTGAATAAACCCCAGGGTGAAACAGACTGCAAACACATAAACATAACAGAATTATTATTAAATATGCTTCTAGTGATGCACACAGTTGGCATTAATAATCTCGCCCACTCTTTTTATGCTAAAACTAATGAGGAAGGAAATTGGTCATTCCAAACATGGCGTAAACTAGTCTTGCCATAGGCAAGTAGTACAGACAGCGATTACTCTCAGGTTGCCTTCAAACAGATTTTCTTCTTGGAAGTTCAAATAATAACCAGAAATCAGAAAAAAGATGTGTTCTCTGGACTATCTGCAGTCTTAATCTCAAGAATAGGTTTTATCATGAGGTAAACAGTGCACACACGAACACGTGTATGTGTGCAAACACACACACACACACACACAAATCTATGTAGTGATAAGGGAGAAAACAAATACTGCATGAGTCACACAGCATTGTTTTTTTGGAGGGGGATAAAGTTTGGGAATTGGTGGGGCTGAGGTAGGGGGCTGTTCTCAGATCAGTCCAAGGAAGGACTTGGGCCCTTGGAAGCTTCCAAGTCAAGAGAGTTATTTCTCTAGTGTTCAGTGGTGACCAAAGATTAGTTTAAATGCTATGATCCCAAGTAATTTCAAGAAGGTTCCCTTTGTATCGTGACTTACCACACTATGCATAGCATTTACTATAATAATGGCAGAAAATGCCTTTTAAAAATAAATAAAATACGGAAGATTGCAAATAATCTTCAGTCGGTCTTTGCCTGTGTGGTCTTTATGGTGGGTCAACCTGACTAGGCCAAACTGTGTTCCCTCAAACTCCTTTTGTAACATGTGTCTAGACAGCCCGTGCTTCCAGACAGAGTTGGAGGACAGAGGAAGGCTATAGCCTCTTGTAGCATATGCACATCTTCCTCCAGTGATACAAACACTGATCCAGGTGCTGCCATGAGAGGATGTTGCCGTAGTAATTAAAGTCCCTAATCAGTTAATTTTAACTTAATGAAAAGAGGTTATCCTGGGTGGGCCTGACTTAATCAGTCAGAAGCCTTCCCGGAGAAGGTGCAGGCTCTTCTGAAGTTCAGGGGAGCCAAGCATCAGCTCGTGTCTGTGGGGTTACAGCCTGTTGTGATTCTCTCTCTGTCTGCCCTGTGGGTTTCAGGCTTGGTAAACTACAAGGGTCAGGCAGTAAGCTGAGGAAATACAGTCTCTACTCAGAAGTCATTTTTAACACTTCTCCAGTGAAGGCTTGTGTAGCCTTTCTTATTAGTTATTTCTTCCAGAGGCCTGGCCAATAGACTAGAAAAATACAAAAAATGTGATAAATAACCTAAAAGCTTACTGCCAAACATTCACTTTAAAATTAAACAAATTTGAGCTTTTCCTTGTCTCTCAACATACATCAGAGGTGGTTTCTCCTGACAAGAGGTAAGATTGAACTTGCTCTAAAATTAAGAATTCCAGGACTATGTTTGTTTAAAATTAACTTACATCGCTCCTAGCACAGGGCAGTACACACATAGCATATTGATAACTGATCCAAATGACAAATTTGAACAGTATTTCACACAGATGGTGTAAAGTGGGAGGATAAATGACTTGAACCACAGCACACAGATAGTCATGGAACACTTGCTTTCCATGCAGGGCAAGTCCCCTGCGTCCCAGTCACTGAAAGTCCCCACCTACTAGAAAACTTCTCAAATGGGACAAACTGGTGACTGGCCACTTTACCTTCAGGGCATTACTTTTTTACAGGGTGCTGGGGTGCATTTCTAGAACATTCCACATGATCTCATGTATTCCCAAGACTTTAAATGCCATCATTTAAAAAAATTACAAATTTGTATCTGTAGCCTCAACCTCTGCCTTGAAAGCCAGTCTGACTTTTCCAATTACACGCCAACCTCAGCATCACCAGCTGGCAATTGAACAGGCCTCTGAATCACAAGAAATTCAAGATAACTCTCCATTTCCTGCCAAACTGTTCAGCCCATACCTTCTAAGCCTCCACACGTCACCAAGTGGCAATTCTATTCCTAAGCCAATAACTTTGGAGTCAGGAGAATGTTGGTTCTTCTCCTTCTCTTAGACTCCACCTCTAATCCATCAGAAAATTCTACCCACTTTACTTCTGAAACTCCCAGAATCCAACCCCTCCTTGCCTTTTCACTGTGCTGACCTTATTCCAAATCAGCATTACTACTTTCCCGGGTTGTGGTGACATCTTCCTACCTGCCCTCTCCCTACCGGTCTACTTCCACATGGCAGCCACGATAAGCCTTATAAGAAACGCTGTATAAATGACTCATAAAAAGTCAGATGGTTCTGGGCCTGAGATCAATGCTTCCAGTGGCTTCTCACCTGAATCTGAGTGTAAACCCTCATTTTTTACTGTTCTCTGGGTCCTCCAACCCCACCCTGTGTCTCTATAATCTCTTCTCCGGGGCCCACTCTGTTCAGGCCACATTCTTCTTTCTTGCTGTTTCTTGAGTCTGCGACACACACTTGCCTCAGAGACTTTTCACTTGCTGCTCCTTCTGACTGGAATACCCGTCCTTTGGATATCTGCAAAATTCATTTAAAATTCTCCTTCCCAGAGAGAGGCCTTCACAGAACACCCAATCTAAATTGGCATCATTTCCATGTCGGTATTCCCTTTCCTGTTTCACTCTTCACAGGCCTTCCTGTCCCCTGTCACAGTCTGTATGTGCTCGTTTGTCTGTGCCTCTCATTCTAAAGTGTAAGCTCTATGAGGTCAGGCCCTTTGTGGTATTCACAATTGTATCAGCTCCGAGAGAAGTTCCTGGCAAAGAGTGATACCCAAGAACTATTTCCTGAATGAATGAATGAATGAATGGGTGAATGAATGAGACAGTTCTTTCAGCTCTACTGCTTTTAAGTAAACAGAGCTGCAAGTGGTGAGGTTCCTCCGGCTTCATGGATTTCACAGTACTTCTTGGCCTAAATAAGCAGTGCTCCTTTTCTCCCACCCGTGCCAATCTTACCCCTTCTACCAACGCCACTGAAATGATGACAAGTGTCATGGGCACTGGTCTGCCTTTACCAGGACCAAGGTGATTCCCCCGGCTTACAGGGGCAATGCTGAAATGCCTGCTCTGCACACAGCACAGGTGCACACTTTCCTTTCATCCTCTACTGTGAATATACGTGAAAACTGCATTAAGATCATTGTGTTCCATCTTGTGCCTCTAGTGCCGCCAGTGAGACCTAAGAACACCCAACTCCAGATAGTACAATGAACAGTCTACGGCCTCTGATTTAAAAGAAGTTTTCTAAAGCTCTCAGGTTCGGTGTCCTCAGATAACCTACAAATCTTGCTGGAATATCCCATTATCTTTCTAGGAAGAGATACTCTTTTTAAAGTAGAAGGAAATAACCATGTAAGCTGATGTTTTCTTCTAGGGAACCGGCATTGGGAAGCTGGCTTGGGGAAAGCACGGCCATCACCATTCTCATATTATGGGATAGCAGGTGTGTAATAGGGAGAGATGGGCTTTCCTATCTCTCAGAACATTTAGAAAAGAATTCAGGTCTTGATTCCCACGTTCCTCCTCCCCTACAAGTAGAAGGAACAAGGGCAACACACTGCCGAAGCTGGGAAAAGCAATTCAGAAAACCAAACTGGAAAAAAATCAGCGCTCAAATTGAACATCTTTTAAAGCATATTTATGTACAAAATGAACCAGGATTAAATGATGACACCTAGGAACATATGCTTTTTATACACAGTAGTTTTAACATTTTTACTTGCTTTTGCTTTTTTCTTAATATCTTCTCTTAGAAAACGGGTAGCAAAGCCACATGTTAATTTTAACCGGACTTCCTTCCTACTGAAGCAATTTCTCAATGTTTACTTTTGTCAGAATCTCCTGAGGAGGCAACAAATTATTAAAAGAATGCTGACAAATATTAGGGCATTTTTTTTCTTTTCAACTTTATATTTAAAAACTATTCCCCCTGAAAAATTTAAGGGTGTAGCATTAAAGTAAAAGCTGGCAAGGAGACAAGGGGTTAATGCCTGTTATCTAAACTTCCTTAAAGTCTCTAAACAGCCATGTCTCCGCTGTTTCTCAAGGCAGACACCGTACTACAGAAAGCTGTGTATACTTCACAGAGAACTCAAAGCACCAAACACCTCACCTTGTTCAAAATTTAAGTGTATCCAGTCACTTCAAAATAAATTTTGCTTATTTTGGAATACAAATCACAAATCAGACATCTTTTAACATTGTTTGTTTGTAAATAAGCATACGCTACCACCAAATTAAACCAAGAATCATACCTAACTTAGCTTGGTTTGAGTTCATGTGATATATCTGAAAACATGGACTTTATGCACTTGAGGTGCTTTTACTGTAATCTGCAATTTTGAAACAGAAAAAGTACAAATAAAAAGGGCAGGCTAGCAAGCTAACGAAGTCACAAATATATTTTTCAAAGAAATGTCACTGCAAGGTACCTACCACAGTAAAAGGTACTATATATTTCTTAGTACTGCTATTTTATTAATGACATAACACACAAATTCTCCTTCTTAAAGAACCACAAATCACTTCAGTAAAACGTACCTTTAAAGGATACACAGTGACCCCGCGTGTAAATTGTTACAGGAGACAAAATGGCGGGTACAGGAAATGAGGGGAAGGTTACAAAATTTCTAAGAGCAGAAGTGGTTTTGAAGTAGCAAGTAGAAACAAAAAATAACCTAAGCTCCTCAAGATAACCGCCAGAACCCGCCAGAAAGTGCTGCTGTGCTATTGGTGAGGAAGTGAACTAGGGAGGCCTAGAGCTCACTCACAAAGGAAGTGAATACCCACGCCTGGTTTTTCAAATCATCTCATTTAAGTCAGATTTGTCTCACCTGGCATATGTCTGGCTTTTAGTCTTCAAGAAACATAACACATACATAAACTCAACAATTACTGTTAGTATAAAACTATAGGTCATCTTCACTTTGAGAGGGGTGAAAAAAACCTTTTTTAAAAAAAAAAAAAAAAAAAAGTTTTGTGCCAGGTGTGGCTGTAATCCCAGCACTCTGGGAGGCTGAGGCAGGAGGATTTCTAGTTCAAGACCAACCTGGACAACTTAGTAACTTACAAAGACCGTGTCTCAAAATTTAAAAAAAAATTTTTTTTTTTTTAGTGGCTGGTGATGTAGCTCAGTGGGAAGGCCCTGGGTTCAATCTCTAGCACCATAAATACACATACACAAAGTTTATAATACTGTATGATTCCAACTGTGTGAAGTCTTAGGGGGCAAAATTAAAGCCCAGAAGCAGATCAGTGATTGCCTGGGTTGGGGCCTGAGGGTTGGGGCTTAGAAGACACCGACTGCAAAAGGCACCAGGGAAAGCTTCCCACATCTCAACTGCATAGAGATTTGTTTGTTTGTTTGTTTGTTTGTTTTGGTTTTTCTCCGGTACCAGGAACTGAACTCACGACCTTGCGCTTGCCAGGCAGGCGCTTTGCCACTGAGCTAAATCCCCAGCCCCTCAACGGCAGAGATTAAGTGACTATAAATTGCCCAAATTCACCAAACTGTACACCTAAAAGAGGTAGGTTTTATTGTAAATTATACTTGAAGTGATTTTATAAAGATTAGTAACTTGGGTTTTTCAGGTTTGGAACAAAATTCTTCCAACAAAAGTAAGTTTCCAGGCGAGTCCTTCTCCCCAAACATTATCTATAACTCGGGTGAAACTAAGTAGCCTGGAAGGCCTCGAAGTTCAGAGATGTCAGAAACACAGTCCCACACGGTCCTACTTGCAGTCCAGCCCCGGTTGGCAGGACAGTCAGACAGGACCTGACACCCAAAGCAGTCAGAGCTGTGAAGTAGTTAGTGGGTGGAGAACGTTAGGTGGCGGTGTACAGACAAAAGGCCAATCAGGGAGCAAACACATACAGTGTGCCAGGCACTTCCCCCCTTGACCATTCGCTGAGCAAACCTGTGACTCATACTTACTAGTTGAACACTGGGGAAGCCCGATGTACTTATGCTCTGTCGAAAGCACTGGCCCAAGTTTGATGGGAGAGTAAACTGTTTCCTTATTTCTGCTGAGGAATGCCTTGAATTAAAATAGAAAAATCTAAATGAAGTTATTAGTTTTAAGAAGTCATCACAGTTACAAGAGCAATCTTTGATGTGTTGTAAAATATATGTCTTAGCTGAGCAATGGGCAGAACCATCTAAAACACCCTCACTGGCCTGTGATTGGACATGCTTATTTTTGTCTGATAATGCATACCTAGGAGTTCTCAGGGGTCAGGATGCCTACAATCATGGCTCCTGCCCAATTCTGGAAGGATCGTGGGAGAAGGAAGAATCTGAAGCCCAAGAAGAAGATCTAAAGCATTTGACTCCTTCTCCCTAAGCCGCTCAGGGGAGTCAGCTCCTTAAGGACATTTGATTTCTGACTAGAGGCTGAACTACCATTTTGATCTAGCCCTTCTTGCTGTGAGCAGCTGAACTCTCTGGGCCAGCTGCTGCTGCAACAGAGAACACCCAGGAACTGTTGTTATGTGAAAGCTTCTACCTCCCTGCAAGCACCATGGGTGCACCCTGGAATTCTCAAGGACTATATTTTTCCCAAACTGTTCTTAGTATAATAATCCTTTTTGTCACTTACACGGACATTGCTGAGTCTTTAGCCAATATCTCTCGTGGTTAGGAACCATGTGATAAGAGAAAGTTGATATCCATGTGTACTTACACCTACAAGCACAGCTCACAGGCCAGTAATAACTTGGTTAGCAAACAGAAGGACTTCTGGGCATCTCATTTTTACCCATTTATTTTGATCTCAGAACACAATTTTTCATCTGTGGTCATATCACCCTCAACATGCCTGATCTTGCCTGATCTTGCCTGATCTTGCCTGATCTTGCCTGATCTTGGAAGCTAAGCAGGGTCAGTCCTGATTACTACGTGGATTTGAGAACATGATTTTTTCATTGTATTATTATGCGGATAGTTAGGTTCACTGGGTAGTTCACAAAAGTGCATTTAAAGTGCAATGAATCTGGGTGTGGAAACACACACTTGTACCCCTAGGACTCTGGAGGCTGAGGTAGGAGGGTTGCAAGTTTAAGCCTCTTCTGGGAAATTTAGTGACATAGCAAAAAAATTTTTTGTCTCTAAAAATGAAAGAAACAAAAAATAAAAAGAGAAAGTTGGGGATATAGCTCAGTGCAGAGGCCCTGGGTTCAATCCCCAGTACTGTAAGAAAACAACAACAAAAAAAACACAAGACAAAGCTTACAATACTAGTATCGCTACTGAATATATCTAGGAACTAAAGATTACCAAGGACTAAATGAGGACATATATTTGAACCATATGTCCAAGTATCCAAAAAGGGCACATATAAATTTGAAATATAATATTACATGTTATATTTTCTCCATGATCATGTAGAGCACAATTATTCACTACTCAAATGATGAGATTTCTAACATGGTGTGCCAGGCATGCCTGGGTCCCGACCTTGGTGATATGATTCAGCTAAGAGACCAGACCCAGGGTCCTGGTCCTCCCTTTGGCATCCATTCCCTTCCACAATTTCTTTTTGGTGCACTCAGAAGTGTTGTGCACTGCCTGAGCAGAAATACAAACCAAAAGGGTAGTCACATAACCCACATAGCTAAAGCCCAGGCAATGATGTCTCCTTCCCAATATTCTAAATGATGGACGGACATAGGAATAGAAGAAACAGGAATGGAAGAAAATACCTGGAGCATATTTGTGCTAGGAGCAGCCCCACACATTAAGACATGGTGTGTGAAACCAGGGGAAGTTCTAGCAGTCCCATGAACTGTGTTCCTTAATTCCCTACAGCATTTTCTTTAAGTTTTAAAAAATGTAAGAAAGGACTAGTATCAGGAGTGAATCGTCCATTAACCACCCAGGAAAAACAAATCACACTAGAACAATGTGCTATTTTATAATTGTGGGGAGCTACAATAAAAAAGATGAGTAATAGAAAGTGTTGGCAAGGATATGGAGAAACTGCAGCATTCATGCATTGTTGGTGGGATTGTAAACCGAGGCACTAGTTTGGAAAATGATCGGGCAGTTCCTCGATAAGTTAAATAGACAGCTCCCATATAGCCCAACAGTTTCACTCCTAGGTATACACTGAAAAGAAATACAAACATTTCTATACAAAAATTAAAACATGAACATTCACATATCAATATATGTCAATATATTCATATATTGACTCACATAGGAATATAAACATCAAAATTTAAAGCATTCACATATGAATATCAAAAATTAAAGCATTATTCACAATAGCCAAAAGTAGAAACAACCCAAACGTCTCTTAACTGGCAAATGTATACACAAAAAGTGGTGTATCATAGAATGAAATATTGCTCAGCAATAAAAAAGAATGAAGTGCTGCTGTACATTACAACATGATCAAATCCTAAAAACATTATCCTAAGTGAAAAAAGCTTAAAACCCAAAAGGCCACATACAATGTGATTCCTTACATGCAATGCCCAGAATACAAAAATCTATAGAAACACAAAGTAGATTAGTGATTGTTCGGGGAGGAGGTGTGGAAAAATGGAAAATGACTGCTGGTGAGTACAGGGTTTCTTTCTGAAGTGACAAAAATGTTCTAAAATTGGCTGTGGTATACACGAGCATGGTGGTGCATACCTGTAATCTCACACTTGGGAGGCTGAGGCAGGAGGGTCATTGCAAGTTCGAGACCAGCCTGGGCTACAAAGTGAGCTCAAGGCCAGCCTGAACTGCATAGCGAGACCCTGTCTCAAAAAGACAAAAAATGAAATAAATAAATGAAATTGGCTGGGGTGATACATAAATAATTGTGAATACACTAAAAATCATTGAACTGGACATGTTAAAGGAGTGAAGTGAGCAGTAAATTAATTTATCTAAATAAAGTAGGTAGAGAACAGATACACAGATATAAATTGTGTGAGTAAGTATTCCACAGAGTCAAGAGTGACTGCAAAAAATTACCAGATTCAGTATGACAACTAAAAATGGAGATCAACAATTTTTAAAAAATCAGGTGAAACCACTACCCAAAACAAAAGGTCAAGGGAGTGTAAAGAACAATCCTCTTGTGCTTTGCACCCCAGGAACTAAATCAACCTGGAATTACTGACTGGCTCACTGGAGAAGATGGCTGTAGGTCACAGAGGGCCAAGAAAACCCAGCCCGGCCTTTTCTGACCCTTCCTGACCTTTAAGCTTTCATAGTCAAACTGGCCAGAAACTTCTGTTTTCAAGTTCTCTGGAACTCTCAAGCATGTATCTTAGTCTTACGGCCACCCTGAAGCCCCTCCTACCGAGACCAGAGTGGTGCGCCTGAGGTGGGACTCTCAGGAATGTCCAGATCAAGAAGTCGCACTGGGAGAGGATCAGAGAAGCAGGATGAGCAGATAACTGCTTTCATGTTGAAGCAAAGTCTGTAGTTCAGTATCACAGCTTAAGTATTTTTTTTTTCTATCATGAAACCAGAATGTTTCTTCTCTCTAGTCTTTCTTAAACAGAGCCAACAGGTAGTTCTGCTCCACTCTACCAGTTCAGAGTGTCCTAATTCAGAGCTACACAATTGATCTTCTCTGAAATTTGAGGCCTGAACCAATACCTAATGTTGACTCTGTTTTCTACCCTTGCAGAATCAATTGTATAAAAGAAGGATAAACCTATCACTTAAAACTGTCAAATATGAGTGAGGTGTGGTGGCACATGCTGTAATCCCAGCACTCTGGGAGGCTGAGGCAGGAATAGGGAGCCCAACCTGGATAACTTAATGACTCAGTGAGAATCCTAACTCAAAATAAAAAGTAAAGGGGTGGGTATGTAGCTTAGTGCTAAGGTCCTAGGTTCAATTCCCAGCAAAGCGCATGTGCACACAGACAAACACAAAAGAAAAGAAAAAACCTTTCCAATGTAACAAGTACCATGCTTTCTACAATAGATGGAATCTAGAAAAAGAAAAGATAACATGAATGTAGAAAGCAGGCAATGAGACAAGAGGAAAGGGATGAGGCAGGGGCGAGAGAGAGAGTAAGGGGGACAGATCCAAGGGTGTTGTGCACATGTATGAAAATGCCCCAATGAAAACCAACAGTTTGTAACATTAATATGCACAAATAAATAAATATGTATGAGGAAACAAGAACTCTAAGGAGCAAAGAGAATGTCTGGGGAGAAAGAGATTTAAAAAAATATGTTATTAATATGCTATGAGAAAAAAAAGAGAAACACTGTAGCCATGAAACAAGAATATGATGATGTAATAAGAACTATTTAGAGTAGCAGTTCTCAAACTTTTTGTTGCAGGATCCACTAATATTATTTTCAGAACTGTAGATGATCCCAAAATACTTTGGCTTATTTGGTTATCTCTATCAGTATATAGATATAGATAGATAGATGATATATAGATATAGATATAGAGAAATAGAGATATTAGAAATTAAAACAAGAGTTGACAAATATCTATTCACTATATATAATATGCAATAAATGTAACATGAATAATGTATTTATGGAGAATTAACAATTCTAAAACAAAAAATTAGTAATAAAAGTACTTCTGTTTTACATTTTTTTTTGAAGCTCCTTAGCACCTGGCTAAATAAAAGACAGCTAGATTCAAAAAAAAAAAAAAAAATGTGGAGGTGAATTATTTGTCCTTAAACTGAAAATAGCAAGTTATCCCACAAGGAAAAATATTTCTTCATATCACTTAAAAACTTGAAAGTATAATTGCTCTCTTGAGGTGTACAGAAATATCAAACTAGCAGAAATAGGCTAAAATAATAAAATCTCATGTTGGTCAAGCTGTGGGAAAAGCAGCATGCTCTACCCTCTGGTGGGCTTGTATATTGGTTTGGTGTCTCTGGAAAAAAATGTTGTAATATGCAGAGAGAATCATAAAACTGCCACTGTTCTTTTATCTAACCATCTGACTTTGGAGAGTGTACGCTGATGGAATTCATGCAAACAAAAATATAAATTGGGCAGAAATGAATCTGAGAACTGTATGTATGATAGCATGATAACAAATAACCAAAAA